TCTCGGTCACGACTGGCTTCCATGTCGAATTGATGGTTGTCGGTACGACATGAAGACCGCGGATGGATCTGCTCTGATCCACAAGAAGTGGATGATCCGCACCACCGATGAGCGCTTCCACCACAACTTCCGAGCCAAGGTCTGCACCGCCAACCACGAGCACGCCCGCATAGAGGGCAGTGAAACAGCCCGCAGTGCATACTACCCGCTCAAGATGGTACAAGCCATTGTCAGACACTGGCTTCGTGAACTGGTACCTCTTCGCCATATCAAGTACCTCTCGGCCACCCAGAACATCGCCAACAACGAGTTTGACGATGAGGACGGCAACTGGACTCGTCGTGAGAGTCCGCTCCAAAACATCCATATGAACTACCACCACCTGGATGGAGATTCAGCCTTTACCACTGCTCCCTTGACGCCTGCAGCATCTCAACCCCAAGCTTTGTTGCAGTCTACGTCCTCAAGAGCGACTCAACAATCTCCTCCTCAAGTACTACCAGCGAATTCAACGGGCAACGTCTATGCCCAGCAAGTTGCACGGCCTGATGATCCACCAGCACCTGATGGCGAACCACCTGATCCACTCGCCGATGTAGATCCTGATGAAGCCAAGGCATGGGAAGCAAAGCTACATCGCTTTCATCGAGCCGCTGGACATCCGACCAACCGGAACCTGATCCACCTTTTCCGCGATGCACAACTACCACCTTGGAAGATCGAGATGGCCAAGCGCTTCAAGTGTGCATCCTGTGATGCTCTTCGACCTGGCGGAGCATCTTCTGGCCTGGTTCCACCTGCAGCTACACATCAGCTATACCGAGCCTGGCAAGCCGTTGGCATGGATGTCAGTGAATGGATCATCCCGAGCGCCAAGACCAAGGTCAAGTTCCTCCTCATGATGGACCTGGCCACTCGCCTACGTGTCATTCACATCATCAAGTGCTACGACACACTGCAGATGCAGAGTGAGAGCACGGAGGATATCATTCGCGGCTTTGCCGAAAAATGGTTGGCCGACAAACCCAAGCCGGAGATCCTCATCCCGGACAATGCGCTCACCATGGTCTCCAAGGACATGGGCAGCTTCCTGTCGGATGTGGGCATTCAGTTAGCACCACCTGCCGAGAAGGAGAGCTGGGCACATGGCCAAATTGAATCCGCCATGAAGGATGTCAAGATGACCGCCTCTGCCATCCAGCTTGGAGCACCTGCTCAAGATCCGATCATCACCTTGCACCTGGCGATAGCCGCTCTCAACTCCACCGAGTATGTGAAGGGCTACTCCTCCTTCCAGTGGTGCTATGGTAAGGACTATTCCATCACCGATGAGGACATGAGGACTCTCTCGGCTCTGCCAGAATCTCCTGGTAGTGATTTTTCACGGCTGGTTCAACTACGCCAGTCAGCCGAGGACACGGCCCGACGAACCAGAGCTCTACGAATCATGTCCAAGCTAAACAACACCACGGTTCGTCAGCCACTTCGCACCTTCCATCCGATGCAGTTGGTCATGGTGTGGCGTAAGCAATGGCCAGCATCTGTCCACTCGGGCAAGCGTGGCGGCCACAAGAAATCGGGCAAGCCTCACTGGGTAGGACCCGGCAGAGTTGTTTTCCACGAAGTGCTTCCACATCAACGAGGTGATGATGAGCGCCGACACATTGTTTGGGTCTTGCTGCAGAACCAACTTCTTCGCTGCAGTGTACACTCGGTACGCCCTACCACGTCCCTGGAGCAGACCGAGTTTGAAATCAACAACAAGGAGGATATCTCCCAGTGGCGTTCCCTCACGGACATCCTCCCCCGGAAGGAGTATGTCGACCTCAGTGGAGATGAACCACTTCCTGGTGAGCGTGAATTACCAGATCTGCCTGACTCCCCCAACAAGGAGACGGTCTACGTTCCTAAGCGTCGTGTGCGACAGAAGTCTGCCTTGGCACCCGACAACAGACGTCTGGTCCCGGCACCTTCCGGTGATGACGCCTGGGAAAGGGACTCCGACCTCTACGCACCCACGTCACCAGGTGCGGAACCTCCTGCACTACCATCGGATTTGGAAGATGACCTTCCGGTCAATGCCTACGAGCCTGACTCCAAGAAGGCCCGCACCGCAGAGGATGATCAGTTGCTCCACGAGCTCAAATCCTCGACCTCAAGCACTACCACCAAGGAGAGCCGTGACTACGATCGTCACTGGCTGCATGAACTTCAACAGCAAGAAGGCGACCTCCACCACCTCTTCATGCAGTGTGAGGATGTTATGAAGATTGAGCTCGATGTGGACCTGCCGTCACACCGCCAGCAGAAATCCTTCGAGTCCAACGCCTCTGCCTTCATGGTCAAGAAGATGCGAGACTCCGAGGTTGTGTTGGCCAAACTGTCCAACGAGCTCCGGGAACTCTTCAACCGGGCCAAGTCCAAAGAAGTCAGTAGCTTCATCAAGGCCGAAGCAGTTCGCAAGGCCTTGAGCGATGAAGAGGTCCGCACAGCTTTTGGATCTGGACGCATCATGCGAGCCAGATGGGTTCTCACCTGGAAACTCACGCCTCCCGAGGACATCGAGGAGGCCAAGCGCGAAGCCGCCACCAACAAGAAATCTCCATACACCAAGGATGGACTTCGCAAAGCCAAAGCACGCATAGTGCTGCTGGGCTATGAGCACCCTGATCTCCTTCGGCCTGAATTCAAGACCGCCAGCCCAGTTCAGTCGCATTTGGGCAGGAACCTCCTCTACCTCATGGCTTGTGTTCACAATTGGCCATTGGAAGGTCTGGACCTTGCAACCGCCTTCCTGCAGACTCAGCCCACGGAGGCTGATCAGAACCTGTGGACACATGGTGTTGCTGAACTTCGAGACGCTCTTGGTTTGGGTCCCAACGACGTCATGAAGATCCTCAAGAACATCTACGGGAGCACCACCGCACCTCGAGGCCTGTGGCTAGACCTGCACAAGCGTCTTGCCTCCATAGGTGGTACGCCTCTTCTTTGAGGAACGTTGCATCTGGATTTGGTTGTCCAAGATCTACTCGGACTCCTTCGGCGTCCCCAAGGTTCTTGGTCTCATGGGCGGTCATGTCGATGATTTTCACCGAATCGGCGACCCGCACTCTCAAGAGTGGGCTGAAATTGTTCAACGCATCGACAAGCTCTACGACTGGGGCATGCTCAAGCGCGGCACCTACCGCCATGCGGGTACCGATGTCCATGCCTTCGAGGGTAACAAGGGCCGCACTGAGATCACTCTCAGCCAGCAGTACTACATCGAGACTGTGCCAGACCTGGACATCCCTCCAGATCGCCTTCGGCAAGAAAACGCACTCATGACTGCTGATGAGATTGGTGCTTGCCGAGCAACCTGGGGCAACCTTCAGTGGCTGGCCTTGCAAACACAGCCACAACTCAGTGCCCGGTGCAATTTGCTTGCTTCGGAGATCACCACCAAGAAGCACATGGCTGTTGCTCGTGAACTTCAACAGATGGTAGGTGAGATCCGCAAGGTATCACATCAGCTGCACTTTCGATGCCCCGATGAGGTGGAATCCTGGCGTGATGTGGTCTTCATCACCTTCTGCGATCAGGCGCACGCCAACCGAGCAAACCTGGACTCGACCGGCGGCCTGTTGTCTACGGCATCTGGACCTGCCGCCACCAAGGGCAAGGTCACCTATATGGCACCCTTAGCCTGGCGAAGCTGGAAGCTTCGAAGGAAATCCATTTCTTCGAACGACGCTGAGGTCCAAGCCATTTTGGAGGGCGAAGACCAAAACTTCAGGATTCGTGGTCTCTGGAGTGAGATGAATGGTGCAGGCTCCGTTCTCACCAAGCAGGACGGCTATGTGACCTGGGGCGAAACCCTGGTTCAAAACGTCAAAGGGGTCCTGTGCACCGACTCCAAGGGCGGTTATGATGCTGTCGTCTACAACGAGAGCCCGATGCTTGGTCTGAGCAATGCGAGGGCTGCCCTGCAAGCCCTACAGTTGCGTGAGCATATGCAACGGACGGCCTCTGAGCTGCGTTGGCTGGCCAGCGACTATGACCTGGGTGACGCTCTCACCAAGAAGAAGCCTGAATGCAGAGTGGGCCTCAACAAGTATCTGCAGACTGGGCTTTGGAGCATCGCCTACGACAAGGACTTCACCAGTGCCCGCAAGAACCACTCCCTGGGCAAGTCCGCCGTGAAGGCCATTGACGATGCAAGGTCATCAACTGAGGAAGGGTTTTGTATCCATGCAATTCAGCTAGGCCTCTGTACATGTGGGCCTATCAGTTGCTGCCCTTGCAAGGACCTCACATGAGTCACCTGTGTGCATACCGCGGCCACCAATCATCTAGGGGCCCCTTGCGCCTTAGCAATCGACCTGTGCAGCCATCACTACGCCGGTGGACAGACCACCTTTCGCATCCCGTGCCAAAAGGACACGTCATTGTGCTGCGCTTTGAGAGCTACGCCATTGCAGATTCCCAATGCTTCACTCGGAGTCGGTTTTAATGTCTGGCCATCCCAATGGCAACAAAGCATTCGGTTTGACCATACCCTGATTTTGGCTGGCGGGAGACACAAGTGCTTCGCAACTAGCAAGTTGCACATCAGGGGCGATGACTGATTCAGAGCCATCCAATTTGTAGTACAATTTCAGATTGTGTTCCAATGCGTGTTCATATTATTCAGACGCATCCATTGTGAAAGATCGCCAAGGGGTCCACGTGCCCTTCGAGGATTTTTTCGAGGGGGTCAAAGCACCTGGGAATTTGGCCCCTTAGGCCTTCATGTGGAGTCGCCCAGAATTGGAACATGACCCCAGTGTCTGTTGTTATTTTGTGGAGCCCTAATGTTTTCAGCCGCCAGGACAATGCACATCTTCTTTGCATGCTGGCTGGGGGCTCTCCCCCCTGAAGTTGTAACTTGGAAGGTCCCAAGTGGCCCCGCAGTCCCCCTCGTTCGCCTCAAGGGAGCCCCCCCACCCCCTCCCTCCCCCTCCCCATCATCCAGTTCCAAGGTACCAGCCCCAGATGATCCGCTGCTTCCAGGGCGTCGTGGAGAAGATCCAGCAGCTCCCGGAGAGCAGCCCCAGTGCCTCCAATACCAAAGTCTTCTGGGAGGTCTTCCACAACCAGGCGCGCGGTTTTTTTTTCTTTCGGGAGGGCGCGGTTTTTTGCGCCGGGTTTCGGGCACTAAAAGGGCTCCAAGGGCTCCAGGTCAGGTGGTGTTTTTTTTGTTCCCCACCAGCCACCTAACCAGGCCTTCGCCCCCCCCCCGGCTTTGCTATGTGTGCCGTTCCTGGATGGGAATTGGACCCAAATCCAAATGGCTTCAGTTTTGCTTGCTTTTGGTGTTCCTTGTATCTCAAGCAAAGGAAAGACCCGCCCTTCCATTCGTTGAAATCAATATGTTTCTCTGTTGGTTTTAAAGGGAATCGATTTCACTATTGGGAATATCTTCGCAGTTTTTCCAGGAACTTAAGCAAATGGAATCGTAGGCCAAGGCAAGTGGCCTGCTCTGTTTGGCTTTTCGGCTAAAGCAAGGGCTCCGGGTGTGTTTTTTCTTTTCCCATTAATGACCGAGAACAAGAGCCTAGCTTCCATTTGCCTACATTTGCCTACAAAGATGTTTTATTCCCCCCCATTGGTTTTGAAAGGGAATCTAGCCTGGTGCAATTGTGTAACCAGCGAAAAACCATCCACGGTAAAACGTGGTCGAAATGCCAAGGGATCAATAACTATAGTTAGCCTTGGCAAGGCAGTTGCACAGGGATCTGGACGCATGAGCTATGCAGAAAAGCGATTTCCAAGGCCTTTGAAGTGGCTGGTTCTGCCTGGATTTTGAAGCTCCTGTCATTGGCATGTTTGGTTGAAATTATGAGATTCAATATTACTGGATCCCCAGTTGCCCTTATGTTCCAGCTACTTTTGCCCAAATTATGGGCTACGAGTGGACAAAGTGGCTGGAAAAAAGTGGCTACTTGGGGACCCAGGTAGCTTTTCGGAATACGGTTGCATCAGAACCAAAGATATAAGATATATCATCTTTGGGCAGCCGCAGGCAGGCAAGACAAACTCACAGGCTTCAAGATGGTTGGGTTGAATAGCAACGATCGCATCGCTAACGGGGGAGGGGAGGGGGAGGGGGGGGGGGGGTGATGGGGTAGATTTGTTTTATTAGAATATGAACCCCCATTCACAGCCAGAATCACCCAGATGGGCAGCCCCCAAATAGAAATTGCATAGCGAGTGAGTCACAATCATAACCCGGGTAGATGAAGGTTAGTAAGGGACGGTCCCAGCCATAAATAGTTGCGTCCGCCTTGGTATTTCCTTACATGGTTCTGGGTCTCATTTTAATACCGGGTTTTGATTGTGACTAAAGTGCCATATAAAGCATTATAATTAAATGTCAACGGGTTCTGACGAAGAAACCTCATGGCGTCCAGCAAAGTATAACCCGTGTGGTGTTCCTTCGCCTCTGAAAGCGAACATGTTGAGGGTTATTGAACACCGGGGCTGGTTGCCCTTTAACCCACCATTCCCAATCTTTGGTAAATCCTCACTTGGACTACTCAAAACTGCGGGTCCATACTTGTGATCGTGGAACCCCACAGTGTACCCTTTGTCCTGGAAGGGCCGGCTTTTGGAAGACCATCTTACAAAAACTCCCTGACTTCCTTGATTGGACAGAGGCCCCGAACAAAATGGACCTTGGGAAGCTTCCAATGCTATTTTGTTCTCCCCCCCCCCAATCCTTTCCCTAAACCCCCAGCGTTTTCTTGTGGCTCCCAGCCATCCCCTTAGCCTTTTAGCTTTTTGGGTCCGAGAGGTGGCCTTGCTGCTGACGGGTTTCCTGAAGCACCACATGGCCGCCATGGAGGCGCAGAGTCGCCACTTCGCGGCAAAAATGCCAAGGGACGTTTGGACTTTTTCACTTTTTGCCAACTACAAAAGCACTAAACCACTAAAAGCTCCAAAAAACACACATTTATAGAAAAGCCGCCAAAAGTCAAGCCAATGGGTTTTCCGTATAAACAGTTCAAAAGTTTTTGCAGGGGAGCAGAAAGCAGCCGAGG